GGCATAGGCCTTAGCGAGGGACAGCCTAATGTAATCGCTGATAAACAGCACTAGGCCTCCCCCATCTTTCTCAATGTCACTGGTAGAAGCTACTACAAAGGTTGTTCCAGTACCTCGGGTGGGATACTGACTGCTTGGCGTGGTTGTCTCTGAAAATGGCTGTTGTGGAGGATTTTACTTGAGAAGTCCCTCTCAGCTGCTTGGATGCCTGGCCAGGATGAGGCCTTTGGGTTGTCCTTCATTAGTATTGGGAGAGGAATTTCGCAAAGAAAACACTCTACCGAGGGCATTGGTTGTATAGCTGATTTTGCATATCTGATAGCAACAAAGTTTAAAATTAGTGTAGAATCACTGTGCACAGTTAATGATATTATTTACGCGTGACCAATATCGATCTACATCAGCTCTTATGACTTTATTAGCACTTGGTAAAAGAAGTATATCTTAAACCAAAAAATGAAGGATGTGGGCTAAGCACCATTGATTGACATTTACATTGTATGGATAAAAATTCGTCATTAGTGTTACTAAAAATAAGAAAAAGTAAAATAGATCAATTTTAATTGTAGGTGGTTCAGCTTTCTGATAATTTTTGTTTTAAAATTAATATCCATTTTAATCATTCTATTAATAATTTAATTCTAATAACTAATAATAAATATATGTACATGTTGAACAAATCAGTAGCAAGTTATATAAAAAAATTTCTAAGTGTACTATAGTACGGATAATGCAATTCATAAAAAGTTGTTGGACAAAATTTATAAAGATATTTATTTAAATTTTTATTCAAAAATCTTTATTTATATGAATAAGGGTATAAGACCGTATTAATTGCATTTAAAAAGCGATTCAATCGTAAGGTTGATTTGAAATTTATCAATATCCAATAGCTTATGTTATGGAACAAGATTGAGAATTACCAAATTGAACTAGCATAATCCACAACTAACTATAGTGGGATCGAATTAAGTTTTTGGCAGTAGAAATTCAGACTAGCGTAAAAAATAACTTGTAAAGAATCCAACAATGCCAATCGATTGTAATAAAATCAAACAAAAAATGTTTTTCGCTAAGGCTTCAAGAAATATGGCAAAAATGGTAAAACACGGTTTTTAGCGTCGAAAATTAACAATAAGCCTTAAAATTAAGAAAAAAAACATAGAAGTATGTATGACAAAAAGACGAACAAAACAAGCTCCAGTCTATCTCAATTGGTCTAGTGATTTCCCTGCAAAATGCAAAAAACCTTATTTTTTTAACCAATATTAAAATGTTAATAACTCTCTTTTGCATAAACATTAAGAGCTGAAATTTTCCAGAGTTGTAGCTTTAGTAGTCTTGATTAACCACATCAAATTTCAGTAAGATCAGATCGATAGCTTTTGCAAACCACAGCTAAGTGCAAAAAAAGGTACTTTAGCAATACGGCCTAAAAAAAGTTATTTACAACGTTAGATGCAATTTTTTTGCGAGATCATATTCTTTAATACTTACTGTACAAGTAACCAAAGTATCAAGTTTTTTGGTATATGAAGCTTTTGGTATATGAAAGTTACTTAGAAAATGATAAACCTAATGTGTATTTTTTGCGCACGGCGGTACGGCGCGTGGGGGGCAATAAGCCACCGTAGCCGCCGATGCATAAACCACATCCACTCTGAGCTCGACTCTGATGTTATCGACTGAGTACGGTTAAACTGCCAGCCATCATAAAAATAACGATTTCTTGGGAACGAATAACCAACTTCCACACTGTAAAAAAATTCGATATACGCATACTAACATGGGTTAACACATCAAAAATAGATAACTAGCAGTTGTGTAGATTTTTTGATGCATCACAACGGTCTAATATTGCTGTCATTTATGCAGATTTGTCCGGTCGTACTTTCATACTGATGATGGAAAAAATCAAAGTAGCTCCCACCAAAGCTCATTCGCTATCAAGACTGGAACTTTGTACTACAGTTTTACTGCAGTCTTACATCAGATACGTAGAAGCAGTTACGTTATGTAGACAATGCTGTAAGCTACAGAATGCGAAGCTTAACATCAGCTACTGTAGTCTTACATAAATTCTAGTGGCAAAAGCCGGAGTGGTTGACCAAAACTGAGGATGACTAGCCACTTTTTAAGTGTATCATCACACAGGCCAACAATGAAGAACTCATTTCGGCCACAGTAAATGAGAAAACAGCGAAACAAGACAACAGAAGAACTGCCTCTACAAAATTCCAAAATTCGATAAGACCATCAAGACCTTAGCTTACTGTTTTCATTGGCGTCTAAAATCGTCCGACGAGACAAAACATCGATCTAACGCCCTATGACACATGGTGTCTGACTCATACTTCCAGCTTTAGAGCAATTGATATCCAATAGTTTGAAAAGAAATGAAAGCAACTTTTATGGCAATAAGGCTAAGCAAACTTTATCTCGGCCTAACCATTTCGTTGCCACAGAACGACTAAAGTATGCATCAATCCCATACAATAAAAACATTTGATCGTTCTTCTCGGTGAATGTATCATTGTACAGCAACTCGTGAAAGAGGTGCATAAGTATACTCTTTACAAAGACATCCAATTAATGCTGTCGCATCTATATTGCTTACTATGGATGACACATCATCTTGCTGTTGCAACTGATGTCTACAGGCAGTGCGTCTAGTGGAATCGCTTAAACAGTCAAAGTCAGGTTTAACAAATAGCTCTCCTACCAACAGCACGAGTAACACCGTCTCAAGCATTTGCAGTTATCGGAGTGGATTATGCTGGCCGAATTACAGTGCTGTTTTCCAGAAGTTGAAACTCAAAGACAACCAAACATTACAAAACTATTCATATATGTCTTGTCACGCAAACTGTGTACAAATATTGTCTCTGATCTAACTAAAAATGTCTTTACTGCAGCTTATGCCTGGTTCTGTACACGCTGAGAAGTGTGCAACACTATCGACTCCAAAAAATCCTCGACCTTCATGAACGCGGCCAAAGAGCTGAAAACGCTCTTTGCTAAGTCGTTGCCCTTCATAGACAGCGTAGCATCAACGTTGGCAACATACGATACTAAGGAGGTGTTAATTATGTAGGGTCATCGGAGAGCTCAGACTTGCATATGAGGAATCGGTCACACTGGCTTTAATATTGAGGCCTGCCTCAATTCTAGGCCACTATGCCATCTTAGCACTTAGGCTACTGATGCTGTGGCTCTTACCAGTACATTTTTTGGTGGTCTTATCGCTTTTAAGCCATCCAAAGCCATTCAACAAAGTACATTGGCATCCTATACTGAACATACTTTGGTAATTGTTCATTCACATATAAAATTATAAAAGTAACCTTTTTAAATAAAGAACTACTTTGCATTAAAAGCAGTTTTAAGTTCAATAGCTAGAATTTTCATATGAATTAAGAAAAATGTAGCATTACTATTAGAAGCGAAGAATACATTACTCATGACTTATCGTTTGGTTGCTTCAAAAAAGTGAGGTATCTCGTTATTTTGAGCCCACTGTCCATGTGCCTAAAGTCAGTAAATAAGTAAGAACGGGCTTGTTGGTGACAGCTCAGACACTAGCCTGAGTCATACACAGCGTTTTCTAGACGCATCTCATTTAAATCTCAAGAGGAAAAAAAATTTTAATATTTCGGCCAGTTAATTCTAATTTTTTTTTCTTGTCTATTTTATTGATTTGAATATTTTATTGAATATATAATTTTAACTATAACTACGAGCATCAATAATTGATGATTACTCCATAAAATGTATTACTAAATAATATCAATAAATTCATGCATACAATAGAAATTAAATTAAATTAATAAAAAAGACCAGAAATACAATTAAATAAGGACACCATATCAGACAAATACTTACGGTTATTGTTGAGGTATAATACGGTGAGTATTGAGAGATAATTACACACAGACTTATAATTCGATGCATTTATTTCGAGTGAACGAATCTTTAGGGATGAATAACAAGAGGATAGAAGACAATTTACAGAAATTAGGTCATGTGTCAAAGAAAAAATGCACAAAAAAAATGTAGTTGTACAGAACATAAAAGCTCATGGTAGTTCAAATAAAACACTCTGTACGTATAAGAATATAACCAAATTTTAATAAGTCTAAAGTTTAAAATGAACTGTATTTTCATCAAACATTCTTTTGTTTGCTGCACTTTAAGACCCAATCTATAACGATTCAGTATGCTTACAGCAAAATTAAGACAAAACATCAAAATTTGTCACAGAATTTTTCAACAACGTTTTTTAGAATAAGATACTTAACTAAGCCAGGGCTCGTGCATGTATCCTATTTCTGGTTTGGTGTAGTTAATAGTTCTGCGACGAATGCAAATTCGACAACTTATCAAAGTCACGAATGTTGCTTGTAATATGAGCATCAGTAACGATTTTATCCATAAAGAAATTTGCTATTTACAAAGACAAGTATTGATACATATTTAACTCAAGAAATTTGCATGATCAGGTGATAAATAACTGGAATTCACTATAGCTGAGTTTACTTAATGGATGAATGCGCCTTCTTGGAAAAAGATAGTAGAAAATTGAGATAGTTAGTAGCAATCTCATATCTTGAAAATTCAAACATTTATATACATTTATCACTAACTTTTTTTCATGTATTTTGCTGATTTTATTAGCATAATGGCAAACTTCTTTCGCACTTTTATTTTGTTTTGTTGTACATAAAACCCTTCTGCGGACATAGTAGTTTACCCAATTTCATGTTTGCTGGCATGCAAACTTGGAAAAATTCGGAACTACGTTAGTTATAATTTATATAGTTTTGTCAAGATTTTCTTGAGGTATATAAATAACTTTTTAAATATTATCCAATACTATAATAAATGATTACGAGCACATATATTAAGTAAAATGTTTCATAACTAATAAACATTAAAAATTTGTAAGAACTTAATTAACATGCTTTTAAAAGTAAACTTCGATTATGTTTTTTTTGTCTTACCTGAAAAAAGGGACGATCTTGCAGGCTAACTTTTCAGCAGTACGAAATCCTTGACTGAACAACATTACTTCGGCAATCAATTGCCTATCTGGACTCGTCATTGCTAATGATCTGAATAGTTTTTTTAAGTTATCTGGCAGGTTGGATCTTCCAGCATAACCTGGATTCATCGTTATAAAAATTGCCATGTCTGTAGATACCTTAACTTGTTTTCCGACTAACTCTACACACAAAGCTTCATTTTTTTGGCCTTCTATTTGACTTTTTAAGGCTTCCTGTATAGTTTGAACTTGTTGAGAAACTGCTGAAAGCATCCTTTCTTCTAGCCGATTAAACTCATCGAAACAACCCCACGCCCCAACTTGACATAATCCTACAAAAATTCGCCCCATTGCCTAAAATGCAAAGAAAAATTTATAAATAATAAAAGAGTTATGATTGAAAAAAATAAAATCGACGACAGAAGGTAAAATTTGGACTAACTAATAATTATTCTTAAATCATTTATAATGATTTTAATTACTAACGATGAAATATAACAATTAGTACTTTGGAAGATTCCAAATTACAAGACCATTAGATCTAATAATATACAACGCAATAACTACTCATTAACTTATTTTAACGATGGCTTGTCAAATCTTAATGACGAAAAACTACCTTTACAAACTTGCAATATACCTAGTAAAAGCTTTAATAAACTGTATGCACTTGTATGTATTAAAACATGTAAGTACAAATAATTTAGACACTCTATGTCAAGTAAAACTTAAGAAGTAAATTTGTCTCAATCTTAATTCAGGTAACTTATAGCAAAAACAATGTATTTGCAATGGTATAGTTATATGAGACTAATATCATAAATGGTCACAAAAGTTAAATTAGTTTTTTTTTTTTTTTTTCATGAAATTTGCATAAATAAGCACTTCAGATCAAAATTTAAAAAATTTATAGTAACTTTAAAATTTTGTCTGTGGGTAACGACAGTAATATGTTTCAAAGATTTAACAATTTTCTTTCTAAGATTAGATAATTAATAGCCAGCTAATAAAAATCATATTACATACTTTTTATGTCACACAATTAATAAAAAAAAGTATATTATGCTATTCATCTATAAAATGGACAGTTTTAAGGAGAATTAATTGCCCATACAACTCTACGTTGTAATAAAACTTTGAAAATGTCCATTTAAAATTCATATGCCTTTATATAGCGTTCTTTCTGGCGAAACAACAAATATGATATATTTGACACTTATAGTTAGTGTACCTCTAATAAAAACTCGACTTAACGAGTGGTGTTGGCTCAGTGGTAAGCGTGTTTGTTACTGATACAACGCGGTTCTATGGGTCATGGGTTCGATTCCCGGTAAACGCAGGTTTTTTCGAAAACTATTTTTATCGGGAAAAGTTCCTACGTAATTCCGGCTGTTTTGACGTAAAATTTGCCTTCAGAGTAATTCCAGAATTTTTTCTTTGCCCCACAGGTCTTCGGGCCTAAGTGAATGCGAAACAGTGTTAGGGCGATAGGTAGGGGTCAGCGGATCCGATGCGCCAGGCAGGGATCACCGGCTTTACTGGCGAGGAGTGGTCTCTGAAACATGGGGCTTCTTCGGGGATGCTAATTAGCCTGGATCCGATGCTTCGGCAGAAAGCGCCGGCTTAACCAGCGAGGAGTGGACGTCCTGAAATATGGAGTCCTCTCCGGGGAAAGGATACACAGTGGCGAGTGGACCCGATGCACCATTGGTGAGAGAGTGTCAGCTTAACTGGCAAGGTGTTTCACCGGAAATACTTACACTGTACCCATGGATTAGGTAAAATATCAATAAAAAAGTTTGAAAACAGGTGTGGCCATACACCCTCACACGTAAGTCGTGAGTGGGTGGTCCCAGCGACTTGGCCTAAGAGCTGTCACGGTAACCACCCAAAATAGAAAACAAAAAGAAAAAAAATATAAATAAATAAAAACTGGACTTTAACACATCAATTTCTTGGATTTACAAAGACTTAAAGTATCATTACGATAAGTAAAACTACCAAATATAAAGTAAATTACACGATATAGATTTTTGCAACCCTACCGTTGCATCACCGTGATAACTGTAACGTAAAACATTATAAAAAAATAAAAAATAAATGTATTACATATCCATGTATTGCTTATGGATTATTATAGTTTTCTCTATATACAAAA